AAGTTCAGTTTGGAATAACTGTTTCCTCTTTCTGCTGAGCTGACAATATAAACTCTTTTTAGGCTCCTAATATGGCAAATTACATTGATTAAATTTGCATTTTTGAACCAACTGTGAATTGCTGGGATAAACTCTATATTGTCATGCTGTATTTTATTACTAATTTTTTGTTAAGCGTTCTTGAAGCTTTCTTTATGAGGAGCATTTATAGTTTTTTAATTGCTGTGTGTCTTGTGGCTCTGTTGACAGAGTAATCCCAGCCTCGCGACATGAGTTGGGAAGGGTCTTAAGCATTTCTCTTCTCTGAGTTTATATAGGAGTTATTCTATGGAATCCTGAATCCCAATTGGAGCCATCTGGACTCAGAGATTTTGTTTTTTGTTCTTCTTCTTAAAGGCGAGAGTTTATGTTATGAATTCAGTTTCTATGACAGTTGTAGGGTTACTTGGAATCGATAATTTTCATTGGGGCATATTTTAAAATTGCACCTTTTGAAGTATATGGACATTTCATCCAATTCATAGGTCAGCTATATCTATAGGTCTGCAGAACTCCCACCTTTCACTTCAGACGTGGGTAACTTATATATCGTCTTGTGATTTTTTTGTTTTGTTTTGTTTTTCCTCTTCACCAGGCTGGTTAGAAAGCTTATCAATTTTGTTGATTTTCCCAAAGAACCCGTTTTTGTTTTTTTTAAATTCATTTTCTGCACTGTTTCTCTATTTTCAGCTTTATTAACTTCTGTTTGTGTCTGTATTTCTTTCTCTTTTAATATTACTTTTGATTTTGTATTTTTCCATCTTCATAAAGAAATGGCATAAATGTTTTTAGTCTTTTTGTATTTTTACTGTAAGAACTGAAAGCTACAAGTTCCCCTTTGAATGTTGTTTCACGCAGGTCAGGAACCTGCTATATCCTGGTATTGAATGCTAACATTTCTTGTGGTTGTTAATCCCATGAGTCATATCATGAGTCAGAGGGGAACTTTAATTCACATGTGCGGATACTTAGCGATTTTTCAGACACCCCTGTCTGAAATACACCCCAGTCGTATTCCAGTGTCACCAAAGAGCTTACGAAGCCTGTGTGCTGTAATGCCATCTAAAGTTTTGATTCTAATTGTGCATCTTAGTAAATGTTACTCGTGTAGTTTAAAATAATGTGTATTCAGGGCGATTGTACAGGGAATCCTGTTATTATTTCATTCTTGTGGGAGATTCTTGTTTCATTTGTTCAGTTTTGTTGACTTTCTGTCCGTTCATTTCATCAGTTACTGAATGGAGAAAGATGGTTGGAACTTATAGCAATAATTACCGACACCTTCCTTGGTTCTGTCCATTTAATAAATGTACCTGTGTTCGTGGCTGTTCTGTGCCTTGCTCTCTTGGCCTTTCCATATTTATGGAAAACCGTTCTTTTTCTGCTCATGTTCCTTGTCCTGGGGTCAGCTCGCCTGACATTTATGTAGAGACTCCAGATTCGACGCATGTGTCTTTGCATGGCATAGTTTTCCGTTTGTCCACATTTTTGTGTGTATTTTGAGTGTTTCTCGTATGCATATGATAGAGTTATGCTTTTTGAAAGAATCTCATTTCACAATCTCTGCCTTTTAGATCATTTACATGCCATGTGCCGCTTGTCCAGGTCACTCGCAGTATTACTGCTGAGCGGGTGGGCTCATGTTTGGCCCACTGCTTTATGATAAGACCACTTGTTCTTTACTAACTTCTCAACGTTTTGGCTTAATTTTTCTATATTGGATTAACAGTTTTTACTTATTTAAATTTTTTTCTCTTTAAGGTTTGTGTACCTTTAACTCCATAGTCTGCCTTCAGACGATGATGTACTGATTCACACGCTGAGATAGGAATGAGTTTTTCACTCAGCTCCTGTTCTTTTCCTTCTTTATCTTGAATAGCCAATATTATAGTACATATTTCTGAGGAATATTTTCTTATTAGATATAGCCCCTGGGGGAGGGGCTGCTTGCAGGCTCCTGGGGGAGGGGTCACTTATAGGCTCCTGGGGAAGGGGCTGCTTGCAGGAGCACAGGAATCTTACCATCGACCCCAGGGCTCAGAAACTTTTTCCCTCTACTGCCAACCATTAACTGTGTATAAATCTTCAGTCCTGTGGGTCCCTTCCCTCTCTGTGAGAGGTTGTTGACAGGGTTTGTGCAGCTCTTCCTCCAGCAGGGAAACACAGCTGTTGTGAGTTCAATCCCTGTGGTACCTGGAAGTCAGTGTTCCACACTCCTTCCCCATTTTCTCCAGCTCTTAAATTCTCTGCCCCTGCTTCCATGATGCTCCTTCAGCCTGGTGTGTTTCAGTGTGTCCCATTTCTAGCTGAGCATTCTGTAGTCATCTTTTCCCATCACTTACCCACACCAGTTACCGTCTCTGCATGACTCCTGCCCATTGCAAATAAAAGCGTCTCCAATCAAAGCTGATAGCAGCGCTGACCTGTACACTTAAACACAGTTATTTAGAAGGCGCTTCGCTGGGCACATGGTGTGCTTTTTTAGCAAAACAATGACGACAGTTTCCCCACTAGCACTTAGGACCCTCTCTCCACTCTCCCAGGTGCAGGCTTTTACTGTGTTTATGGTAGCACTGAATCCCCTCCCGTGGAGGGGCTTAAATGCAATCAGGAGGCGTCTGCACTTGTAACAGAGGTTGCACCACTCAAGTCTTGCCTGGCTGGTCAGTATCGCCCGCGAGGCCCTAGACCTGGTAACTGTCCGTAATGATTGTCCCCCCTCACCCCACAGTCTGCATAGCAGCATTGTGAAGGCTACCCAGGAAGCAGGGAAACTTCAGACCAGTTTTAGCTGGACTTCCTTATGTCCCGGTTTGCATTGTTTTTGAGAAAACATCAGCGGTCTTTCTTATCTTTATCCTCCTATAAGTATTGTATCTTTTGTTTTTAATGACTGCTTTTAAAGTTTTTCATCAATTTGATCTTAATGAATTTCAGTGTGTCTTCCTTTGCCGTCTCTTGACAACAACTGTTTGAGCTTTCAGGGTCTGTGGGTTAATAAATTTCATCAAAGTCGAAAAATTACCCAAGTGGAATATCCTAGAACCTGTTCTTAACTCAAAGACATGGGCAACATGGATTTTAAAAAATGAAAGGAATTAGTCCTCCCATTTATCTCTCTCGTCCACAGAGCGGAAGTCATTAGAGCCCTGATAAGGTGTCGTGGCTGCTGCATATGTTGACGTATTTGTACTGCACCATAGCAGCGGATATGCTTTAAATATGACGTTTTTGAAATTAGAGAAAATGGCGCGTACAGCTTTAAAAGCTGCCTAGCACATGTGCCCAGGGGCTTGGCGTGACTACGTTATACGCTGATGACGCAGACGGGCGACTCACGCATGTGCGCAAGGGTTTTAGCTGAGTCGCACGTGGAGGGTCATGCAGGGCCCTTTTTTCTTGAGGGCCAATCCGCACATGACTGCCTTTAGAACCTGGAAGTGCAGCCTTATCCTTGGCTGAATAATTACAGTTTTCTCATAATAGATGGGTTTGGGGAGGGTCAACAGATGCCACTGTATATGCCAGCCCTGCTTTGACCCATGGTGACTGGCGCAGGATGAAGGATTGAAGCTCCGTTCTGAACTCAGCAGGAAGAAGGCTGGAATGGATTAGTTATGTCTTTCGTGAGTTTGGGTGGAGAAGCAGGGCATCTGTCCCGCGTATTTTCAGCAGGTCACAGTCTCAAGGCAGTTGTGAACTTCTTCCCATGGCAGAAGGAAACTTACTGCTACTCTTCACATCTTGCTTCTGTGACACGTTGGAAAGGAATCTGGTTATGTGATACCCACACCCGAGTGAGTCTTCATTTAACTACTCATTTCTTTTCCTCAAAGCGAGCCAATACGAACCTGTGGTTAGAGTGCTGTTTTCTAGTCATTGCTTTGGATGCATTGACCTGCAGTCCCGTAAGATTAGACTGGGGCCGTTCAGAACGGGCCTACTTTGAAGCACACAAACATTTTACCTCATTGGAATGACAGCGTGCTGTTAGGTGCATCAGAGCGCATAGGGCAGTTGCTGACTGGGAGTGCTTCCTGGTCCATCTCAGATCACGTCCTGTTGGCCCTCATTCTTTATAGAGACTGAGTTAAGGACTTGGTACAGGTATCAGCAGACTAGCTGAGGTTCATCTTTCCAGTCTCCATAGGAAGAAGAAGAAGGGGTGGGAACTAGAATGGTGGAGAATTCCTTCTGACCCATTGTGTCATTGCCTGTTTGAAAAGCTGCTGGTGCTAAAAGCTTAGGGTGTTGTGTGTAGTGCTTCGTAGTACTTCGTGAGGTGATCTGGGATCCTAGCGCTGCAGGGTCTAGCCTCAGCCTGCATTTACCTGAACTGTAGCAATATCGGGTGACATAAACTTTTTAAATTTAACTTTTTTTTTTTTTGAGACAGGGTTTCTCTGTACTGGACCTAGCTCTGTATACCAGGGTGGCCTTGAACTTACAGAGATCCTTCTGCTTCTGCTTCCTGAGTGTTGGAATTAAAAGCAAGCACCCCCACTACCTGGCTTTTTTTTTAATGTGTAGCCCAGGTTGACTTTGAACTCATGATCCTCCTGCCTCCACCTCCTTCAGCAAATCCTATCAGTGTGCACCATCACAACCAGAAAATTTAATTTTACGTTTTATGAGACAAGAGCTGAATAATCTGTCATACCTAGCTGCAGAACTGTTGGGGAATCCAGTGAAAATATCCTTGGGAAACTTGAGAACTCATGAATATTATGGGCCTGTGTATTCTACCTGCCGCTGCCTTTCTTTCCCAGGGAAGGTGAATAGAATTGCCCTGTCTTTGCCTGATTTTAACTTATTTTCATAGGTGATTGAATCTGTTGGGACACCATCTGATGATGTTTCTATTTAGGAGAAAGAAAACTAGTGAACTATCCAGTGTGTTTTTTACTGGGGAGTAAATAATTTCAATGAGAGATCTTCACCAGTTCTCTTTTGCTTTCCAGCTTGGAATCCCATCCACTGCCAGCACATCGAATGCCACAATGCAATTAATAAGCCGGCTGTGAAGGTACTGCTTCCCAAGCTTGGGCTGCCACTGCGTTCTAGGCCATTCAGTTAGGAGAGTAAACTGCTGGGCAAACAGAGCAAGTTGCTTGCGTCTCCATAAAACAGCTCTGTGGTCCATCTCAAGCTCTGTATTTGGGCAAGAGGAATGGTAGTGTCTGTGAGTTAGAGCTGTGAATTCACAGTCAAGGGTTGTATAGCATTGAGCTGATTATCAGAAGAATGCTGATGAACACATAGTTCATCTTACCTGGTTTCAGTCTAAGCCAATACATTCAGAACTGCACCCCCTTCCTTATAAGTTATCACTTCAGAGGGTCTGCTATGTGACTATGCAAATTTGAGAGCAGTAAGACAAAAATAGACAAAGTCGTGAAGTTCTTGCTCAAATCACAGATGTGGGCTAGTCGACTGAGAGATGTTTGGGTAACGTGCACACAGTAGGCCACACTAGCGGTGAGGAGATTGTTGCATGAGGCCAATGGGCGATTAGCATAAAACTAAAGACAGAACCAGGTACCCTAACTCTCAGCTTCATTCTTTTCTATATGTATTGTCCAACCCTATTGAAACTGACTTGAAGTTGGAAGCTCCAAGGAGTAATCACATCTTAGCAAACAAAATTGCTTATAGTATTGTATTTGTTGGATGCAGGACATACGGGTGGCTTGACGGGGTTAGGATTTGCATGGGTTAATGTCACACTGTAAGGAGTGGGTGCTGGCTGAAGTTAGGAGCATTTACAGGTGCTTTTGAGAAACTGGTGTTATTGGAGTTTGTTTCCCTGTCTAGGCAGACTGTGTTGGTGCCTAAATAACAGAAAGCCGGCGCTGCCACTGCATAGGGACAAAGCCAGGTAAAATGAGATCCTTTTGTAGTTACTGGATCTCATTGTGTATCATCTGTCACAGGATTTCCTTGTGTCCTTATATTGGATGCTTGCCTTTAATGACAGAAAACTGAATGACTCCAAAGAAAGAGCAGATGAACGTGAGCCACCAACAGGAGCACGGACTTTGCAGTGCATATTTGCTCATGTAACCTCCATTCTGAAGTTAAGATGTGGGACTCAAAGTCTTTTTCTCTGGCATGAGGGTGCTGGAGTGAACACATAGTAGATCACGCGTGGTTCGTGCAGTCAGTAGCTTTCATAGCAGGGAGACCTACACGGTTTTTGTCTTTCCTCCCTGCTTCTTGCCTCTCACAGGTATTTTTTTTCTTGCATTTATGGCAGACTGCATTTTCTAGAGTTCTCTGGCATCCTGGTTAGTAATGCTTTCTGGCCATCTAATCACAGAAAGGAGAAATTAGATTTTCTTCTTTGCTAGGCAGGCAGTCCAGCCCATTCATCTGGATTGATCTTACTGTTATGCCAGGAACCCAGTCATGGAGGCCAGGCACCGCCAGCCTGCCTTTGGTATTTTTCTTTATCAAGATGAAATTCACATAGAAATTGTTTAAATTTAAAACTTACCATGTGAAAGGAAACAGTTGGTATTTAGCACATTCAAATGTTTGCAGCCACCACCTTAATCTGCTCTGAAGATATTTTCATTGCGTGCCTTCTTCCTGCCAAATCTCTTTCTCTTTTTAAAAAGTCCCTAGTGTTTCTCTTTCTAGAAAACAACAGTCCGGATAATGCTTCCCATGTGGGGCCATGCTTTGCGCTCTAGCAGGTGCAGCTCAGCGGGGTTTACTCTTTGCACCATGGCTGCTCGGAAGGGCCTACCACCACCACAGAACACACAGGTGCAGGGACTCCAATGCCTGAGTCTTACTGGAAAGGGAAGCGGAGAGATCGTGTAGTCTGACATAGATTCAGTCTATTTAGATACAGGTTCACACTGGAAGTGAAAACCAGCCAGTGATACCCATAAAAATGTAACCATAACCACAGAGTGGATGAGGATGATTCACTGACGTGAGTTATTTGTAATTTTTGTTTATCTGTTTTCCTCAGTCTGTACATTGGGCATAGATTATAAATAATCTTTTATTTTTTTTAGGACAGGGTCTCATTATATGGCCCTGTCTGGCGTAGAACTCACTATGTAGCTCAGGCTAGCCTCATCCCTATGTAGACCAGACTGGCCTCAAACTCCAGGATAATCCCCCTGCCTCTGCTTCTTGAGTGCTGGGATTAAAGGTGTGGTGCCTGCCAGCAAGCAGTCACCTTGTTGTTGCTCTTGTTGGTTGGTTTGTTTGTTTTAATTCAACAGCCAGACAGAAACATGTTAGTAGAACAGAACTGAGCAGACATACTAATTATGTAACCAGCAGGTCAAAAGTCAGGTAGCCAGTCTCTAATGGCTGTCAATCTAATATCCCAGGAAGTTTTCCTTTTGAGTGGAATGAAAAACTTATCTTTGTCTGGCAGACGTTCGAGAAAAGAGCGTGAAATAACAGTGCTCAGGAGCTCTACACGGGGTGCACGGGGAAGCTCAGGAGAAACATGAGTCCTCAGCAAAGCCCTCTCTGCCACAGACACTGCAGTCTAAGGCTTTAATGATTTGTCCCAGGGAATAGCACTTTTTGAAGAGCCGACCGTTGCCATGGGGATGGGGCGAAAACAAGTCAGAACTTAGAGTCTTATGTCACATTCCACTTTCAGTTATTCCTGGTTCCATTTAAAGTTCGCTTTATGAAACTGGCTGAAGCCCAGAGAATTATGTAAGACAGGGTCAGCAAACCTGTGGTGCTAATGTGTCTGCTGCTAATGTGTCTACTGCTTGTTACCGTCAATAAAGTTTTATTGGAATGCAGCTTTGCTCTTCTGCTTACAGAGTGGTTGCTTTTATGCAATACCTGAAGAGTTGAGTGGCTATGACAGAGAGTATATGGCTCACAAAACCTAAAATACTTACTCTTTGATTATTTGTGGAAAGATTGCCACTCTCACAGACCAAATAGTAATTACTAATTGTGTCTGAAGAATCAAGAAATTTACATAGGAAATATTTCACAGTAGATTGTTGGCGTTGGCTAATATGCAACTTATGAACTTTGTTGACTTAATTATTTAAATTTAGCAATTTTGGTATTGATCCCATCACTAAAACCTCTCAAGATTTTGGCTCTGAATTATAGGTGGGGTTGTAAATGTGGGTCATTTTCCTCCTTCAAGTAAATGAAAAAAAGCTAAAGGAAGAAGAGTGTGTGTACTAGGCATATTACCTGGGTACTCAGCTAAAGCAGAGGAGTATTATTCCTGAAGGCAGGCACAGAATGCAGGATGACTTTTGAAATACTAGAAACTTGAACTGATGGGAAGTTTAAGCACAGTTACCTGACTGTTGACTTGATTTAGAACATCCCGACACCCTGACGCTGTGACATGAACACTTGTGTCTCTGCTGGGGCATAGACAACAAGGCATGGGGTAAATGAGCTGCAGGTTGGGGGTGGGGAGAAAAGCAAAAATGGAGCACTGTAAGTGTGAGTCAGAGTTGAGGTTCGGGAGTAAGGATAGGCACCCCTCGGAACTAGATCTTCTGTGACATCTCTATTGCCAGCATTTGGATGGCAGTTAATGATTTTGAAATCTTAATGATGCATTTTCCTTTTCCTAAAGAGAGATTGCTGTGTTTGTCACCCATATAACACAATTGAGCAGCCTGAGAACAAGGAGATTTTTAAGCTTTGTGGCAGGAGGGAAGATTTCTTGACAGTGTTTGGTACTTGAATTGCAAATAGCCAGACAGAGGAACCCTGGCAGGCACATTTACATCCCCAGTGTGGGCTCCTCAGCAGAATAGGGTGGTGGTGGTGGGGTTTACTAAAACAGTTTCTTCTACCTTGATAATAGAATGCTGCCTCTGTCAATATATGGTATGCGTCTCATAGATTGGGGACGTGGTGCATCGGAGCAGGAAGGGTCATTCTGTCTTGTCATTTGTTTCAGATGTGTATAGACCCTTCGTTATCAGTGGCTTTGGGTGATAAGCCACCTCCACTGTACCTCTGCGAAGAATGCAGCGAGAGGATTGCAGGGTAGGTATGAGTCCTTGAACCAGACAGCAAGGAAAGTTGTTTGCCCCAAGGTTGGTTACTCAGCTTTCCCGCCAGCCTTACTGTGACTTTTAGAGATTTGTTTGTCTGACGTTTAACACAATTTGGGCGATTTCAATCGAAGACAGAAGTTGCCACATCTGTCTTTAGAGGACACAAGAAGGCAATTCCAAGCGATGGAGCAGCTCTAATTCTGAAGCAGCCGCTCTAAGAAGGCTGCAGAGAAAGCCTGATGCTGGAGAAACCTGGAGTTTCCAAAGCCAGTGTGTCATTGCTCCAGTGGGCTCTTTGTCCTTGTGAGCTGTCCTTCGTGGTCTCGCTCAGCTCCGTGTCTATCCCCGTGTCTGGGTTGGCAGAACTAACATCGGGAAACCATCATTTTCAGACAGCGGAATACGAGGGAATGCTCGTAATTTATAGATTGACTGGGAAGCATTAGATGCTCAAAAGTTTATCACAACAGTGCTCTTAATTACACTCCTTATGAAAAGCTTCAATCAGTAGTCTATAACTCACAGACGAGCATGTGCATGGGGAACAGTCCAGCGAAGCTCAGAAACCAATTTCATTTTTCTTCCTAGGGACCACAGCGAGTGGCTGATTGATGTTCTCCTGCCACAAGGTAAGGTGTTCTTCAGAAAGGGTGAATAATGAGTAAGGATGACTAATGACATGGCTGATTTATCTCCTTCTGTGCTATTTTATAAAGACAGCAGCCAAAGCCTCATATTTCAGGAATGTTCACTGACCTGCAGCGTTATATCAATGTCTTGCTTATAATATCGCCTAAACACGTAATAACAAGGGAAGGCACTATCAGTTCTACCAAGAATTAAGGTTAGATACTATAATCAACATCATGTATGACCTAAGCCCTGCTGAGTTATGTCCTGGGGAATATTCTGTGTGTAGAACACATGCTACCAATGATGTGTTGTGCTAGGTCAGAAAGGGAATCTCGGTCCTTTTTATTTCCTGCTGGCTCTGTGTTTTGGGGGGCAGTGTCCCTTAATTGCTCTGAGAGATGGTCTCCCTATCAGTAAGATGGGGATAAAGTGTATCTAGTGTGTTATAATAAAAAGGTAAGATGTGTGATACTCCTTGGAGCCTGTTAGAGTCTGCTAGGAGTTGCTAGGTCACCGCACATGGAGAAGTTGGGTGTTCCAGCCTCCTTATCAGGGCTGTCTCGAAAAGAAAAAATTGCTCAGGAAGGCTGAGAAAAGACATGGATAGGAAAGGCAGAGGCACAATGACCCCCCCCCCCACTTGGGCACACGGCACAGGCTGTGACTACAGACACGGAGAGTGAAGGGACAGGCAGGAGAGGCCATGGGAAGCCCCATGCTAACATGGGCCGTGAGCTCCTGCTTTAATTTAGGGTACACTACTTCTTTGAAATCCTAATTTTTCATATTAGGTTATGTCAACTTTAAGAGAGAAGTTAATTTGATGAGTGCTACCTGTAACACAGTGCCTCCTGTAATGGAGGCTGTCGGCTTCCATTTCCTTTCAGGGACAGTTTGAAAATTTCCTTTATCTGTAGGAAGCTTTGGTCTCATAGTATGGACAGAGTCATGTATCAGGCCGCTTTCCTAGTGAACCTCTGGTGCCTGATGTTGGACAGTCACATTCAGAAGTCCGTGCCACTATATTTTGTTGGCTTCTTTTTAGACAGGGTCTTACTAATGTGACTCAGGCTGGCACCGAAACCTGGATTTCCCTGTCTCTATCTCCCGAGTACTGAACATGCCCCACCCTGGATGGCTTGCTTTTGTTTTGCTTCTTTTCATGACTGACAGGCTTTTGCTGTATTGCCTAGGTTGGACTTAAACTCCCAGACTAAAGCAGCCTCTTGCCTCCTGAGTAGCTGGCTCTATAGGAGTGTATGCCAATGTTCAGTTTCTAGAATACTAGCCCCTGCTAAATATCAGGCATGTTTCTGAATTCTAGTCCTCATTTTTAGATGATGCTCATCTGTGGAAGAACTGAAAGAGCTTTTGGTTGTTCACCAAGAGTTGTGATATTCTCGTCAGATTATTTCATACAAACAGCAGGTTATCAAACGGTTATATAAGATGACTTTTAATAACCAAGTTATACATTTTACTGATTTTGTATCCATTAATTTCTAATTAACAGACAGGGTTTGGGAAACACCTTCCTTTAATTTTCTGAGTTACTGTAACACAGACTGTTCTATAAATAAAGTGCCAGTCCATTTCTTGGGGCCTTACTATTTTAAGGGAAATAGTGATAGATTCTCGGAAAATTATTTTCAACTACTCTCAAGATGTCAGTTTCCATGGAAACACTTGGTATGCCAACTGAAAAGAATTCTTAGGCTTTCATTAAAGTCAGCCTCATTAGTCGACAGCAGTTTGACCGCCTTGATCTAATGGATCTACTCATGTTTGATAAAGGATTTTTTTCTAAGTAACCACAAGGCTGCTTTGCATTAGTTAATACCAATAGCTCAAGTCAGAGTAGACCAAGAGAAGTGTATCTCATCGTCTTGACATTTCAGACCATCTCATGGATGTGCGCTAAGCGCAGCCCATCACTCCACATCAGTGCCACGGAAAGAGCAGACACAGAAAGGCCAGAGTCCTTGCTGCTCTTGTGGCTTCAACACCAGTGACTTCCTTGGTCCCCAGTAAGACTTCTGAGTTTGACTATCTGATGAGATCAACGTTGTATGGCTTTAGCCTGATTGATTTCCTTAACATATTTGAGAAGGTAAAATTAGACCTGTGAGTAGAAGACAGTTACAGCATGGAACAAAACCTAAAACTATTAGAAGAGTGAGAAAGATACAGTTTGCTTTGGGGGAAAAATAGAAGTCAATAAATGTTGATGACAATATATAGGCAAATCCAAAGCTTTCTGATGAAATCCATTGGTTCACATTACTAAGATGTATTTTTTAATTACTTTTCATGGTTGCCCTTGTTTAAAATGGGCTCTCTTTCTTTGTTGATATTTTGTGTACCTTCCCCTTACAGCTGAAATATCTGCTATATGTCAAAAAAAGGTAAGCGCACACCCTCTGTGTGATGGGGCATGATTCCGTGTCTGTGTGTAAACTCATCTGTTGACATCTGCCTCATCTCTGCGCCATACTTTCCCACTGTGTACATGTCAGTGCATTTGTGAAGGAGGAGAGGGAGCACTGTATCGTGTGAGATTGTGATGTCCACATGGCCTCCATGTCCACGGCTGCTTTTGTTCACCGTCATGTGCTCAGTGTCTTTGTTCTCTGAAATGGAAGCAGATGTGCGGTTCTGGGGTAGAGTCTTATCACGAACATCTGCAGATGACGATGCAATTCATGGGATTTAATTTTAGGGAAGGTTCTTTCTTAAGTGCTAAAAGTCTTTATTGTTGTGAAACTTGTTGCATATAGTTTAATATATGTCAAGAATATGCCTAGATCAAGCACATGTAGAAAATATTCATTTAGGTGTATGTTCAATGATATGTTTAGCTAAATATTCCTCTGCTAAAACTTCCTTTTGCCATTTTACCTAGTTTCTTTAGGTCATTCTATTCCATTTTTCTCTGATTTTTTAGTAGTTGAAAAGCTAACAGGAAGCAGCAGGGCACTATGACAAAAGCTTTGACTTGTTGCTCGAGGAACATGGATTCTGGCCCACTCTATTCTCTCCTGCTTATTTAACTTTAAATTTAAACTTTTTGGGAGGTTTGTCTCGAGTGCGCATCTTTGAAGGCTGTCTTGGTTATATATTGCTTTGTAACAAACCATCCTGAAATGTAATGGCTGGTTACCAGCAACAGTCAGTTATTGCAATCAATTGATTGCAATTTTGTGGATTGACAGTTTGGCTAATGAACTCCTCTAGGCTCCTTTACACGCTTGCATTAGGTTGTTGCTGGTATGAGGCTGGCGGGTGGGTGGATGGGGTATGGGGGTGGAGGTGGAGGGTGGCGTGCAGGAGGAAGTCACGGGTGTGGAATACAGAGAATGCTGTCTGGATGATAACAGATGGTCTGATTGTCATATATTATGTATGGGACCTTAGCTAGCTTGGCTGAATGGTTGAGATGGCAGAGGTCTCAGGACCTCCCTCCTTCCATGAGAAGTCTCACTCTCCAGGAGGCCAGGCTGGGCTTGTGCACAGGCAACAGTTTTTGGAGAGGGCCAGAAAGGAAAGGTTGCAAGAGCCCTTGAGGCCAACGCTCAGAAGTCACACAACGTCAGTTCTGCTGCTTGCCCCTGGGTAAAGCAACTCGAAGGTCAGCACAGAGCATAGCGATCTGGGCAGCAGATTGACACAGTGCCTTAGTTAGGGTTATTATTGCTATGCTGAAACATCTTGAGCAAAAGCAAATTGGGGAGGAAAGGGTGGCTTGCACTTGTAGGTCATTGTTTATCATTGAAGCAGGCCAGATCAGGGACTTACACAGGGCCAGAACCTGGAGGCAGAAGTTGCTGCAGAGCCCATGGGGATGCTTGCTTACTGACTTGCCCCTGGCTTGCTCAGCTTGCTTTCTTATAGAACCCAGGGCTACCAGCCCGGGGGTGGGACCACCCACAATGGACTGGGCCTCCCCAGCAATCACTAATAAGGAAAATGCCCTACAGGCTTGCTTACGGCCTAATCTTATGGAGGCATTTTCTCAGTTGAGGCCCCCTCCTTCCAGATGACTTCAGTTGTGCCAAGTTGACATAAAAGTAGGCAGGACAATTGACCCATCGCCAACTTGACACACAGACACATCACTGTGAAGACACCACCTTTCCTTCTTGTTCATCCCCAACATCACAAATTAACATCAACATCACAGCATAAAACATTTTACAAATTTTAAAAGTGCCACAATCTTTATAAATTAAAACACTTGAAAATTCAGTCTCTTTATCTCTTGAAAAACCAAAATCTCCTTGAAAATTCAGTTTCTCAGCTGTGGGCTCCAGTAAAATAAAAAAAAAATAAGTTAAATACTTTCCTATTCAAGAGGGAAGATCCAGGGCACAGTCACAACCAGATTAAAACCAAACCAAAATCCCATCAGTGTAAATGCATGCAATGACCAATATCCGGGACTCACTCATGGTCTTCTGGACTCCTCCAAAGGGCTTGGGTCACTTCTCCACCTCTGCCCTCTGCAGCACACACAGCTTGTCTTCTCATTGTGGTGCCCCATTCCATGGCTGCTGCTGTTCTTGGTGGTCATCCCACAGTGCTGGCATCTTCAAAATACTGGTGTCTTCCGCTGCAATTGGGCTGCACTTTCACCAATAGCCTTTCCTAGGCTGCTATCATGGTGCCAAACCTCAACTTCTCTGTATGACCCCTTCAATCCTGGGCCTTCAACCGCCACTGAGGTGATATCTTTGCCAATGGCCTCTCACAGTGACAAGCAAGCCTCAGCTGGTTTCCATTTATGCTTTGAAAACCAGTACCATCTAGGTGACTCATATAGTACCAAATTTGACTGTCAGTCCTCAGTACAACCTTGGCCACCTCTGGAGCACAGCTCCTGTGTGCTGACTCTCAGGAAGCACTTCTCAGAAGATTCCACCTCAGCAGTACTGGTCTCTTGTTAATCACAGCTGATTTCTCTGCTCCGGCCAACCAGCATCGAGTATCCCAGGAAAACAAATCTTTCACTTTAGCAGGCTCTGTATCCTGCTAATCACAGCTGATTCTTCACCCCAGCTAGCCAGAACCATAGAACCTTAATCCACAGTAACAAATGACCCCAATCGAGGCTTTAAAACTTACCTCTAAAATTTCACAAGCCAGGCCTCCATCCCCCCACAATCCTGTGACCAACTTGTCTTAATTAGGGTTACTATGCTGTGGTGAAACACACAGAGCAAATTCAAGTTGGAGAGGAAAATGGTGGGTTACATTTCCAGGTCGCTGTTCATCACAGAAGGAAGTCAGGTGAGGAACTCAAACGGCAGGAACCTGGAGGCAGGAGTGGATACAGAGGTCATGGAGGGGTGCTGCTTACTGGTTTGCTTCCCCTGGCTTGCTCAGCCTGCTTTCTTATAGAACCCAGGACCACCAACCCAGGCATGGTACCACCCACAATGGACTGGGCTCTCCCACATCAAACACTAATTAAGAAAATGTCTTACAGCCTGATCTTATGGAGGCATTCTCTCAACTGAGGCTCCCTCCTTCCAGATGACCCTAGCTTGTGTCCAGCTGACATAAAATTGGCCAGGATAAGCAGACTTAGCTGGTCTCTCTTGAAATCCTGCAAGCCTGAAAGCTCATTCATCTCAGGCTGTCCCTAGCCTTCTCAGTCCACCCTGACAGAATCCTCGAGAAATGTTGTGTGCTTCTATGTGCCCTTAAAAACTTCTTTCGTTAAACACAAGTTAAAGGTTCATCTTTGTGAGATAAGCCCGGCTAAACCTTGAACTCTCCTCGACGTTTCTGGGAATGATGCCTCACAGTCTCAGCACTATATCATTTTGGTAGCGAGGATGGTGAAGTATGCCCTTAAAATCTCCAGGTCTTTGTCTGCCTAAAAGAGACTATGATGTAACATATCACATTCTGACTCTTTTTTTCCCCTTCCCTTCCCTTCCGTTCCCTTCCCTTCCCTTCCGTTCCCT